CAAAAACGAATACTCAATTCAGTCGTTCAAAAACGATCTCGAATATATCATTCACGGAGCAACTAGCCCTTCGATCTATCGCCTCCTTTGCCACGGAACGCTCGTCGGAGCCGCCATGCGTGAAAACGGGCCCAGGCAGGCATAATCGAACGATGTAAGGGCCTAATAAAATCGTAAGTCGGTTGACAGGCGGTGCACGTAGCGCGGAATAATGGGCCAGACATTCCTCCCCCGTAGATCACGGGGTTGGTTCGCATTGTCGCTGGTTCCCTTACGTAAGAATGGCGACGAAGGAAACGACGCGGATGGGCAGATGCTGTTTAGACATTCTGCCGCCCCGTGTGTGATACGCGGGACGAAGATGGAACGAGACTTAATGCGGAGCTGCCTGTGACGGCAGCCAGGTAAATCGGGAACAGCCAGATCTTCTCCGAGATGTCTCACTCCGATGTGCACGCGAGAAACCACATCAGTTTCCTTCCAACGAATTTTCTCCTCTTCCATGGTGGTGAAAATTTTGAAATTATTTTCTCAAGCGATTTGAAAATTAAGAAATTATGAGTCTTCTCGTGATCAGTTCGAACGAATTTTCTCTTCTTCCATGGGGGTGGGAATTTTAAATTCTTTTGAAGCAATTCTAAGCGAGGATAAATTTGAAAATATTAACAAGTGGAGAATGGAAGTTTGCAAGAGCGCAGAGTTGAAAAATTCCGCCGCGATAATTGTAGCAAAGGTGACTTTGTATCCATCGAGAGATTCGCGTCGCGAATCGATCGCGGGGAGGGTAAACGGGCCGAGAAGCGGCGAGAGAAGGAGAGAATCACGAGGAGGAAGGCAAATTGAGCAAAAGGAGGTCCGCGATCGGCGGAGCGGGTCAATTCGAGGGCGGAGCCGCGGCTGGAGGGGAACGAGGGATGCAACCGCGAAATCGGGCAGAGCCGTGAAAATAACGATTTCTCCTTTGTGGTGCCGTTCGTTAAACCGAGAAGAGCCGGTTTCACTGAGCGTGCGTTAGAAAAAGACAGACAGAGAGAGAGAAAGAGCACGGTGAACGTGAAGAAACTCGTGGAGGGAGAAGGAGGTTCGTGCATGGGTGTTCGTGACTCGTCGATATTTTTCCTGAACGCCGAAAGAATCGATATTTTATGTAGATCGCGAGAAAAGGGCAACGTGCTTGTTCGTCGTCGCCCGGCTATTCTCGCCTGGACGAACAAAAACACGGGCTGATCCCACGCGAGAGAAACGAGAAAGAAAAGAAAGAGAGAGAGTGAGCAAGAGAGAATGGGAAGGTAGAGATGGCGAAAGCTTTGTTGCATGGGCAGAATTCATCGAGAAAATGGAACTTCTCGTTCGGTGTGGCGATTGTTGCGTCGCGGGTGGAGAAAGCCGACGCGCGAGGCTATTCATACCGTGCATTCCGGTGAATTAGATAGAAATATTCAACGTGTTGCCTTGCCACCTCAATGGGCAACTGTATATACGTGGCTATTCTGGGTTGGAGTTACGCTACGTTATCGAGATCGTTATTAGAATTAAAGTGCGGGTTGCTGGGTGAAATGGGTGTTTCATAAGACGAGAAAATCATCTGCTCGGACCCCAGTACCTTCGTTAATTCGTCTCACATATAATCACTTTCTACAGGACTCAGAACGATGGAAAAAGAAATTATACAAAAAATAGGAAAAGAAACTACATCCTCACCGTCGAGAAACCAGCAAAATCTTCCAGAATCTCGATCACCATCCCCAACAGCATCCAAACAAGAAGACACCCGAATAGTGAAAGCTCAGGTGTCTCATTGTCCAACTTTATCACCTGACGTGTACGTGACGTGTTCTGCGTTTCCCCGGATCTGGACTTTGCCACGCTACGGTCAGGTTTTTCCCTCCATCCGGGCAAAGAAGGAAAGCCAAGAGAGAGAGAGAGAGAGAGAGAGAGACGCGGAGCGAGAGAAGGAACGAAGAGTCGAAGGTTGTTGCGAGAGTCCAGCTGCAGACAGAACCCCTCGCAGAATGGATTCTGTTGCGTGTGCGGGCCGATCGGCGTGGAAACGTGGGTGGGTGATGGATAGACGGTCACCGTGTCACTCGTGCGAACGTTAAACGAGCCTCAATGGATGGAAATTGCATGGGCACCGGCATTGTCACCGGTCCCGTTTCGTAGCGACGCCTAAAATGCGTCGGTGTATGCAGATACGGGACAAAGAGGCGTCGAGGATGCGATAGTAGATACGATCTCGTTCTCAGGGTATATATTTCTGGCCTACTTGCAGCTGGATAGTCGTTAATTTATGACTCGCTCAATGGTGGACATTTTGGAGAATTTTTTAACGATAGATTTCGATTTCATTCTAACTGTTGTTGTTCTGACTTCCAAACATTCGAATTGGTGATTTTCCATTTGTCAGTTTTATAATTTTTATGAAATTTTTATGTTTCGAATTTTCTCTTGGATCGTCTGCTACAAGGTGTTCACGAGCGTTCTTTGCAGAAGTCCGTTAAAAACCGTTGCATCCAACGTTTTTTCCAGTAACATCGCCTCTCTTCGTCTTCCCAGTTTCATATACTCGATCTGTCCTATTAGAAGCGTCGTCAGACGTTCGTTGCACTTTTTCAAACCTGTAGAATCCGTCTGGGGAACACCAATCACGTCGCAGTAGTCGCGATAGCGGGGAAAATATCGTCGAGAGTGAGAGAGAGAAAGGAAAGAAAAAAGAAACGTTGGTTGCCTTATCTAAACGTCCGTTGGCGAACGAGTTCACACCTGGCTCCTCTGTAGACGTCGTCGATAAACGTTATTTTTACGAGGTAGACGTCACGAAGACATCCACGAGAGAAAGCGAGCGGCTCTGAGAAAAAAGGGTGGAAAAATAGGAACCGACGGAATTCACCCCAAAAATCCTTTCTTCTTTTTTCCTCGGATGTTGGAAGACCGCGGTAGCTTCTCACGCAGGAAAAAAAGCGTAATTTTCGATGAAAAGAGGGGAATCGACGATGCAAATTCAGGGGTGAAAAGGGAAACCGTCGCGTTCGTGTGTGTATATATATATGTACAATCTTGCGTACCTGCTTTTTGCGTCTTCCGCGCTGTGATTCGAGGGGTGATCAAGAAGAACGAGGACGAGTAACTGAAATTTTACGGGGAATCCACCAATACGTTAGCCTGTTCTACCTGACCTGTCGCCTCTCTTCTCTCTTCGCTTCTTTTTCCACCGTTTTTCAGGGGAATCCACGTCAGGTATGAAGGGGAGGGCACAGATGCGGTGGAGGAGCGAAAATCGGGGCGAGCCTCGTGAAAGTTTCGCGTCGAATTCACGGGATTCACAGGATTTGGAAATTTTTTTTCTCCTCCTGCCTCTACCCAGGCGGCCCCGTTTCGTCCCACAGTAGCCAGAGAGCATCATCCCCACCTGCGACCACCGTCTTTTTACGAGCGTTTCGCGAGTGTTTATCTCTATTCCATGGCGAGTCTACTCCTCGGCCTTTGTCCCGCCACCGATGGGAAAGTTCGACGGTCCAAGTGGCTAAGCGACTTCCTTTCTTTCTTTCTTTCTTCTCCTCGATACCTTGGTTCACTGACCTTTCTTCTTCTCGTGACCTAGATCACTCTTCAGACTTCACCCCCGTGATGTAAGAGATTCGAGGCTCTGTTAAAAGAGTTCGAGAAAAATAGGACATGAAAAGTTTATAATCTTTATCCAACGTTGAACGACAAAATTTCTTTACACGAAGCAATGGAAAAAGTGTCCCAAAATGCAACATCTAATTCACGCCAAAATTTACACGTTTATTTCGTGAAAAGCTCAGAGTATAAAGCCGCCATGCCGCAAATCCCCTTTCGCCAAAAGAAGGAACACCCTGCATGCCCCAGCGTATCGAAGTAATTATTATTAAAAACCGTTATGCCCTAACACTGGTCGAACGGCGTCGCGTAAGCTCGTTTTCTCGAACCGAACGAATCGGTTCCGTGCCATTATCCTGCGCGTACCCCTTTTCATCCAGGGGGGCGCGCGCGTACCGACGAAGGAATAGGTAAAGGGTGGCGAGGGAGGCCAGTCATAAGATACGATGATGGATGCGCGAAAGGGGGTTGTTTTGCGCGAGTAGAGGGAGAGAAAGGGCCAAAGGGTTCCTCAGGATGGCCAATGGTACGCGTAGATCGTGTACCTACGACCAATCGTAGTAGCCCATCCTGAGCACGTGGTGGAGGGGAGGTTTGGTTCGTCCTTAGGGGCACGATTTCGTTGCGTCATTCTGACATTCGTTCTGTATCGGTCGTTCGACGAGGACCTTCGGAATCCTTCGTGATCGCCCTTCGACACTGTACTCGAACATTTCCGGCCCGATTGGTACGGATAGTGTACGGTGTTTAATTATTCATGTTGTTAATTTATTGCGATATTGAAATTGCTCGAATATTCGATGAGTTAGAAGATAGAATTTTTTAATTGTGGTTAAAAAGAGAAAAGGAACTTAATTGTTTCGATCGATAAGTGAGAGGTGATCTTCCGTCGCGATGCGGAAGAGCAACGTGAAGAAAAAGGAAGATAGTTGATACTAGATCGCTAAGATCACGGTCACTGACCGTCGTGCTGGATCTTGGAAAAAGTCCTGATGTGACCGCGAGTATAGGGGCACGGGGATCCTCGAGGACAAACGAGGCTAAGATGGTCTTCCTGGAAGACCCGAGGATGATCTTTGCGGATATGCGACTTCATGCGACTAGCACGCCAACTTCAACCCCCACGCGCTACCATCATCAGAAGTACAGGCCGCAGAACAACAACGACTGTACGATCTCTCGTATTCAATTCGATGGGAAATATTAAATTCAATTTTTTTGTACAACCTCTTCTTCGTTGGATTTTATAATTACGAGATAAATTCTACATACGGTGTACCTATACCGTCAGAAAGGAACATCGAAGGCAGAAAAGAAAGATGAAGAAGGTGTAAGAAAAATAGCGATTAACTTGGAATTTTTTCTATGTTTTATTCCAGATGCAGACCTTCACGGCGAGGTGGACGGACCAGAACTCAGCGGCGACGACAGAAGTATCGCGAGTGACATCCAAGATGCCACCGAGGCGAACCTCGAGCATGACTCCATGGACTCGGACAGGGAAGCGCTCAATCTGGTCAGTACACTTGGCTGTTACTTCCCTTTAGTTTCATTTATGAAACGAAAGACTCTCTGGTAATATCAGAGACGAGGACTTCCGGTGATGGTTCCGTTCCGAAAGGAACTTCCCTTTGTCCCGAAGCGAGGAAAGTAAAGGAGGCCTCGATTTCTTACGGTGGCTCGCGAGGAGAGCGCAAAAAGTGCTCCCGTTCCAATATTTGGCAAATAAATAAAGGAAGCCACTAGCGAGATGGACGACGGTAAGCGAGGAAGGGACAGGCAGGGGTGTAGGTTTTATAAAACACAAAAGCTCTGGATGAACCGTAGTGACCAATATCCTGACCTGGTCGAGTGTAAACACGGCTTTGTTCGACGCCGTTTACTCTGTAATATTAGGGAGGGTGGCTCTCGCGCGATTCCTGCCGTCTCTTCTCCCACGTGATTTCACACAGATCGAGTCTTTCTCCAAGTGTAATTTCAAATGTAATAAACATCGGTGCCCTGAGGCGTTTGCAAGATTTCCGATTAAACATTTATATTTTAGACGTAAAAAGACGTTTGAGGAACTCTTGAAATAGTCGCTTAAAACCTTTCCAGCAGTCTTTCACAATAAATTTTACTTTATCTCAAAACTTACTTTTTCTAAGATCTCTGAAATTTTTGAATCTCCCAATTTCCAAGGTGCCGTAAGAAAGAGACGAGAACTTTACAAAAGAATCTCTTTTTCTCTCTCCGGTTTGCAGCTCTCTACTCGCATACATTTGCCAATCGCATGATTTTTATATTTTCGACACTTAAGGCCTGACTGCTGTTGGTTCCCTCTCACTCACACTACACTACATACTCTCACAATTTTGACACGAATTTTCGAACGAATTTCTATGAAAACTGAAATTCTATAGCCGAAAATGTTTGCCAGGTCACGGACGTGTCGCACCGCAACAGCAGCAGCGGTACCAGTGGCAGCGCCTCTTCGCCCAGTTCCGGTGTCAGCAGTCAGATAACCGGAAGCCATCAGCAGCAGCAACACACGGCTGGCCAGCAGAACAGCAGCAACTCGCAAGCGGCTCTGGCTGCTCAGCTGGTCAGCCAACAGTTGCTGATGCACGGATCTCTCGGTGCACTTGGACCGCAAGAGATCCAAGCGTTGGCTTCGACGTTTCAGCAACAACAACAGTCGTTGCAGCAACAGTTGCAGCAGCTAGCGATGTTCCAGCAAGCCAACTCCGCCGCGGCGGGACAGCTTCCGGCACAGGCGCAATTCTTCTTGCAGAACCAGGTTTGTGAAGTATTTAAAATTAATTTACTACTTTCCTGGCAATTTTTGTGGAAAGGAGTTCTGTTGCTGCTAAAATATCACAATGAATTCTCGATACAGTAACACTTTTGTTTAAATAAAACTAATTGCAAAGTGACGAGTTTGAAGTATCTTTGTTTAAATGATACATTTCAATAATTTTTGCAACATTTTCATTCGTGATTAATTTGAAACGAGTACAACAAAGTGCTTTCGAATACGTTCTGCGTGAAAGATCGATCTCTCCGTGTCCAGCAACAGAATCCTCCTTTTCCCTGTAAGACACAATGGCTGTCCAACGCTTGGAACGTGTTTCGTATCTCGAGGCGAAGGAATTACACCGATGGCGCGAACAAATGTATCCCGTGCACTCGGATTCCGGCGCGATTGTTCTCCCTGGCACCGGGTACTCCACCGAATTACCTACTCGATGCGAATTCGATTCGAATCGCGGCTGAGGGGCCGTCGGGGGAGGAGGTAGATGAGCGCGAGTCCAAAGACGACGTTCCTCGCGGTATCTGATCGACCGGTCGAAAAGAAGTAGACGTCTTATTCTTCTGGGACGGTTCGCTCGATTTGACGCGGAGATAGCCGGCTGGAGATGTCACAAAGGGACAGGGTTTCTACTCGTTTCGCTCCGCGTTTTACAGCAAAACCTTCTCTTTGCAACGTAATCATAGGAGTAATCGAACCACTGATGTCTCATTAATACCGGAGCAAACTTTACAAAATAGATAACGTATTCGAGGATACAGCAAACAGCTTTTTTTTTCTTAACTGTCCTACATTTGGAAACTAGCGAAGGAAAAAAAAGGGCGTTCGATCTTTCATTGTACCGTAGTAGAAAAAGGGAAGAAAAAGAAATAAAATGGAAAGCAAATACATTCATCACCTGCGTTCCACCGGGTAAAAAGAATTTTTCCCCGGATTCGTTTTGTGCGTTTTGTGTGCCCGCGAGATCGAACGAAGAAAAATCGATATATCCGGGGACACGATGAAAAACGATCCTCCTTCCTGGATTCCCGAGCGATTCCACCCCCTCCCCCCTCTAGAATAGCGGGGCTTGAATGGGGAAGGTCTGCGCGTTTACGAAAAAATTTCTATAGATTCCGTCACGTGGAGCGCGTGCACGTTCTACGTAACCTCCTGGAAAAACCAACAAAACCGACTTCGAACTTGAGCAGATTTAATGGCCGTGGTACGTAGCAGCTAGCATTAAGGCCGCTGGCTCTTCCGTGTCTCCTTTGAAAGGTGCAACAAGGAGAGATCCCGTCAGGCCCTTCGGCACCTTGCCACAGGGTGCCTTTTGTTACCTCACACGTGGCCAGGCTGTTTCTTTTTCCCCTCTGTGTCTCTCCTCCCCCTTCGTCTTCTCTCTCTCTCTCTCTCTCACTCTTTCGTCGCCTTTTTCTTCACTCTATAGCGCAACAACCCTCTTCTGGGTTTTTTCCCCCCTTTAGAGAACAGTCTCGAGATTTAGAAAAGTAGACACACGACCTCCTCGATCGCGTAACCCTTCCACTGGAAGCTTGCAACCTGCGCTAATTCAACCCTTTCTCGAACGAGGGTTGCACGCATGGCGTAAGAAACTCGTCATCTGTAACAGAGATTTAATACTCCTCGAAGCACGATTCCGTACGACCAGCTGACACGTAACATCTCAAGCAAGTAGAGGGAGAGAGAGAAACTGTTTTCGTGGGAATTGAAGAAGATTGACTGACAGCCTCTTAGTTTCCTGGATTTCGCGAATTTCGACTAGCTTTCGAAAACTCCTTATCGCTGCCACCGATCGATCAGATTAGCTATCGCGTTGCAAGCTAATTTTTTTTTTGTATCACTTTCACCAGCTTGATTTCGCGAAATCAAGGAATACTATGTGTTACTCGGAGGAGATACCGTATACAGGAAATAAAAACGAACCGAGTCATGCTTTCTAGTTTTTCTATTCCGAAATTAATTCGATTTCGAGAGAATCGCGCGTTGTTATTATGCACAGGTGATTCTATTCAACCTGTAAGCGACGGCACGTGCCGGTATTCTAAGCACCCTTCCGTAGCCTGTCTTCGCGGTTGACAATAAGCATAAGCAAGCTCGACACGCGACCAAAAACCTCCCCGAGAACCCTTTTCTCCTGGCCGGGTGGGCGCGTTTCGCACGAGCCCCTTTGCCACTCGTCGATCGAGGCATCTGGTTAAGAAAAGGGTGAAGATAATCGATTGGTCCGAGAGTGAGACCCCTCGAGCGATTCCTCGCGTACCTGTCCACGAGCGCAACACGTGTCGCCTTTCGAATGGAAACCGCTTAATCCACCGCGCCGTCGCGTGGAGCAGCTCGGTTTAGCGAGTAGCATTTATCTCGAAATTGGGGGCTAAAGGATCGCTGTGCTCGGTTGCTCCAGGGTTCTCCAGGGTAAAATGACGATAGTGAAATTCTGCGGACTTTTCTGTCGGTTAACCCTGGTACGTTCTTAAACATTTAAAGTCGTTGGGTCAAAAAGGACCCGAAGGCCCTGTGTGTTACAATTTTTGTCATCAGCACGCCGTATGAATCTAGACGATAAATTTTTAATGTAATGTCAAGGGAATGTAAACTTGATGACGACAAAAGTTATGAAAAAAATAAGAAAGCCATGGGGTTAATATTGTTTCTGGGAAGTTTGAGAGTGGATTATGTCGATCCATGGTTTTTATAGAAGAGAGGAATAATTTTGGAAGGGAATTTAGGCGCGAGAAAGGATTAAAACTAACGTTTCATACATAGAACCCCTAGAAAATAATACTCCCGTAGTAATTAGTATTGAAAGAAGGAACATGTTCAATGTCCCCGATCAATGGTCGCTAACGTCTTGCAGGGGCTGTTGCAGAGCGGTGGCTACTCCTCAAGACCCAGTCATTCGCGCTCACAGTCCATGCAGGTACTGTTCTAGGCCAGCAACTAGCATTTAGCGATATATCGACAGAGAAAAAAAAGCCTCTAGTTAATACACGTCACGCGGATTCTATCTAACGAATGACGGAGAATATTGAATTTTGTCATCAGGTGCAGCAGGCAGTGGCGCAGGCAGCCCAGCAACTGCAAGCCTTGCAGAAGCAGCAAGCTCTTCAGGGCAGTGGAGGCCTCGTGTGTCGAAATTTGGCGCAGCAAAGGTCACCACCGCCTCCTGGCACGCCTCCAGCAGTGAAACCACCGATTCCCAAGCTGGAACCATCGCCGGAAGAAACGACAGACCTAGAGGAATTGGAACAATTCGCGAAAACTTTCAAACAGAGGCGGATCAAGCTCGGTTTCACGCAGGGCGACGTTGGCCTCGCCATGGGCAAGCTTTACGGCAACGATTTCTCCCAAACGACGATCTCCAGGTGAGTTTCTTTCACCGTTACAGAATAAACGAAGGAGGAACTTCGTTATACACACCGAACAATATTTACTCAACGTAATCCACGATGATTCGAGTGTTCATTTTCGTTCGTCAGGTTCGAAGCGCTGAATCTTTCCTTCAAAAACATGTGCAAACTGAAACCCCTCCTCCAGAAATGGCTAGAGGACGCAGATAACTCCCTGAACAACCCTAACTCCCTTTCAAACCCTCTCACCACACCGGAAGCCATCGGCAGGCGGCGGAAGAAGAGGACCTCGATAGAAACCAGCGTGAGGGTCGCGCTGGAGAAAGCTTTCGTTCAGAATCCCAAACCTACTTCAGAAGAAATTACCGTACTAGCAGATAGCTTGGCTATGGAGAAAGAAGTCGTTAGAGTGTGGTTTTGCAATAGGTAAGTCGAACCAGAGCAAAACGAACAAATCTCATTCCACGAATTCGACCAATTTACAAGAATCGTCGAATTAACCGTCACACTTTCTCCTATCTACAGACGACAGAAGGAGAAGAGGATCAATCCACCAACGGCAGCAATGGGTAGCCCGACAATGGCGTCTCCAGCTCCGTCTGTGTTCGCGTCACTCGCGAGTTCCATGTCGGGAAGTCCTCTCGCCCTGACGACGCACTCGTCGGGCATGGGACATTCTCATCCTCATCCAACGCCGCTCGGTTCACCGTTGCCTCTGGCCCTGGTGGCCTCAGCAGGTGGAAACTACCATCCGCTGAGCGGCAAGTCGCACGAGTGACACCAACAGTCCACCCATCAAGGGGACGCGCTATTTCATCAACACCATCAACAGCCACCGCATCAACAGCAACAGCAACGACGTTTGTGCAATCTACCCGAGTTCTATCACTAATCCACCGGCTGGACCGTCGCTGACGGTGACTCAGTGACGGCTTGGCGGACACCCGTCGACGAATTTCGCTGCCAAAGGGAATTTGGCGTGGTGGTTATCGACGGGGTCGAGCAATAGAGTGGAGGCAAGAGGCTAAGAGAGTAGCTGGCTGGCACGATACGATTCGAAACATATCCTGACGTCGAGAGAGATTCCGCTTCGAGGAAGATATCTGGAGGATTCAAGCGTACTCGTTGATCTCTCTCGAAGAGAAAGAGAGAGAGAGAGGGGGGGGGAGAGAGAGATGAAGCACAGAGGAGAAACAGTGTATAAATTGTCTCACGAAGAGTATACGAATTACGGGGAGAGGAGGAGACCATAGAGATTATGGAACGCCGACGAGACTGTTAGATAATTGATGTGCAGTTAGGAAATTCGATATCGCCCAAAGACAGCGGACAGAGAGGTTTGTTAGACATTGTGTTTCGTTCAACGTTTCGTATTTTTACTCACAGTATTATGCGTATCTTCGGTTCGAAGCGAAAATTACGGTGTTGCGTGGAACGAAGTTCTCAAAGTTTAGATACTTATTTTATCCTTTTACATTATCGTTTTATTTCATTCTTTTTAGGGGAAGGGATAATATTCTAATCTTTTCAAACGCTCGCTTATTATTTTGAAAGAAAAACAAACACTTGAGTGAGTATATATTTTTTTTAACGGAATTTTGAGTCGTTCGCTAACGTGGAGGTTCGATTTTTCGAAGAATCTGAGGGACAAGGGGAAACTTACTTTGAGGTCTTCATTCTCGCACACGTTGCACGACGGTGCAGGCTCGTTGTCGCCGTTTAACGTTTACCTACAAGATGCAATTAACGACACGAATGCAATCTCGGCCGCGAACCGCCATAAAACAGGCCCTTAATCGGTTTCTCCAAGCTTGTCATTTGAATTATCATGAAATATTTATCAAGAGGGGAACCATTCGACGACACGTGTAATTATCGACTGGTTTTCCTCCGTCTACGTCCACTTTCCTTTTGTCCTAGCCGTGCTCGATTCACCGTCGTGGTCATATCGCCGATGTTCCGTCGATCTTGAAAAATCGCCGGAACTTTTCGAAACCGAGTGAAACGAGCACGCTTACGAAATTTTCGAATTTCATCTCCGAGCATTGGAACAAAGAATCACGCTAGATCCAGGCCAAGGAGAATTGGTCGTGTCGCGATCGAGACGGTTCCTTCGAAGATGTCGAACGTTCTTCAGAGGTACTCGCCTCTCCGTGGTAAGCAGGGTTACGCGCCACCCTCAAGGGACAAATTCACTTCTTCAGGATCGAAAGGTTCGTCTGCGAACGAGGAGACAAATCGACGAGAATCCGTGGATAGCTTGAATATACACTGCCATTGAAGAAATGCTTGAATTTCGACATAGATAATTAGAGATAGATATTTCTTCTAGTATGAAGATCGATCCTTTTACTAGATAGTTCGTTGAAACTTTATAGGGTTCTTAATTTTCTTACCCCGATCAAAGATATCATCGTTTCAGAAATCGGACGAGCTTTCGATCCTCGAGTATCCGAGAAAATGAGGAAAAAACTCTCCCCTGTCGGTGGCGAATATGCGGCGAGGTCCGACAATACATAATTTGTACATAATTTACGCGTACGTTTGCGTGTATGTCGTCATATACATATCCGTGTCACGAGTCTGTACATATAGACGAGGTAAAGAGAGGAGAAGAGAGGCATACGAGCGTTTAAGATAAATGAAAAGAATTCCAAGAGAATACGAGTCGGAGTGGTAAGCTCTCGTTCATCTTCGTCGAATGAAAGCCTCGTCCAACGTGTGTTGTTGGACGATCGATTTTCACCGAATCCGTAGTTACTCAAACCAAAGTTATCGTCACGTATAATCGTTAAATAAACGCGTGACACCTGATTAAAAATAGAAGAGACGAGGGGGCGAAAGAAGAGGAGGTTGAACGAGACGAACACGCTCGTATTCTCGAGTTCTTCTCGGCAAGGCACGAGGATTAAACAGTTTTGTAGATACGTCTGTATATATTACACAGGCTGAACACGCGAATTATTCCCAGAGAAGTACGTAAGAAAGCTCGTCGATTGTGAGCGCTTTTAAATCGGAGAGTTCGCGTTCCCGTCGTTCTGTGGGATCGAAAATTTGAAGAAGAAGGAAAATTGATCAAATTCTAGTTAATCGTGAATTCTCATGTCGAAGCGCGACAAAAGCATCGATTCCTCGAGGTGGTGAACTCCCGGTGATTGAAATTAAGGGCTATGATCTTGGAACGCAAAATGGTGATTACGTTCGATTGAGGAAGAAAGGAAGAAAGTCGCGGAAAATTTCTATGTGTAGACGTTCGTAATGGTAATCGCCGTATGCTAAGAATCGTCGATATACGTATAAATATATTATGTTATATATTATATATACATTATATGTGTGTATGGGTACATATACGCGGAGAGAAAAGACGCGAATGTTTGCGCGGCAGGCGGAATCATCGGGATTCTATACATATGCATGTATAAAATATACATACTATACATAAATGTATAAAGTTACACAAAAAAAAACATGAAGAAAAGACGAACGAACGTGTTGTAAATAATAGGGAGAGAGAGAGAGAGAGAACGGCGATTTAGCGAATCCGCGGCGGATTTATTCACCGTGACGATCGTTTCTTATTATTGCGACGATTTATTATTAAGTAATCCTTAATTGTAGGTATATCATTGGGCAACGCTGTCTTTTATTAGCGATCGTGAGGTACGAGAGTTTCAGATACATCGAGCGCGCTGTATCTAATTTTATATCGTCGTAGAATAAACATATGCTGTCGATTCACGAACCAACATTATTCTTCTTCTTCTTCTTTTACTTTTCATAGAGCAATTTCATTTCTCGATCGATATCGATCGACCGGTCTAAACCTACAAACGGAAGATGTGCTACGATAAAGAATGAAAAAAAAAAAACAAACTTAGAACTGCTTTTAAGTGCTGATAAAACTGGTGTGATAACCATTGATGCTTATTATGACGACGCGAATTACTAAACGTGATACATATATATATATGTACATTATACTTTGTTTGCATTGACGTTCCATTTCTGGTGAAGTGAAACTTGGCTCGATTTCCCAATCTCTCGTCGTCCTCACAATCCGCAGCGTCAGCGCGTCGTCGAATCCCCCGTTTGTACATTTGTTGCGACATTTTTTGTTTTTCCTTTTTTTTTTCTTCTCGTCATCTTATTCGATATTATATTATATGTAATTCCTTTTTCTACGGGAGAAAGCCGCCACGTCGAACCGCGGCGCGGTACATTGAGATATGATTTTTCCGATGCTCCCAATATACCGCGCACGCCCGATTATATATAATATAATACATGTGTATGTATGTATGTATGTATGTAAAACGCGTACGAGACGAGATCTCACATCGATCACGCGCGTCCTTTCGTTCTTATAGATCACTCACCTACAAACACAGACACACGCATACGCAATCATCCCCCATTTTTCTTCGCGCAAAACCACCCTGATAATTCCGGAACTTCGAGTTTTCCCATCCTTTTAAATACTTCGTTTTACTCCGAACCATTAACTTCCAGAGTCGTGGACCAAGTTGTAGCGAGACAAAATGATGCGAATGGGAGGGAGAGACAGAGAGAAACCGAGAGAGAGAGAGAGAGAGAGAGAGTAAGAGCGAGAGAGAACTCCGCGAAGAGAGATACAAAAAAATAAGAGTTCCTAGAGCACCCGTTTCGAGTGCGTTATGTAAGACGTTTTATAAATTAAACACGGTGAACGGGTGTGAGAAAAGAGAAAACGATAGAAATGGAAGAAAAATCGATAGATAGCGAGGAGAACGTGATTTCAATGATATGTAGTGGATGAGAGAAGTGTAAGAGAAAGCGAGAGAGAGAGAAAATAGTGTGAAAGAGCGAGAGTGAAAGAGGGACATTTTATTTTACGTTTTCCTTATCTACTTCCTTTTTCTTCTTCTTCTTCTCGTTCGTCGGATGTGTACAGTGTTTTCATTTCCTTTTTTTGTAGATAGATGAGAGAAAATATTAGAATCGAACCTTCGCCCCTGCCCCCCGTTATCCCGACCCTGCTCCTATGATCGACGTGTCATTGGTTCATTTCTTTCGCTAGACAGACTTTAGTTATTTTTCGTTCTTTGATTTCTTTCTGTCAACCCCAAGTTTCCTTTTTTCACATTTTTATCGAATCTTTCAGTAATTCTCGGGTCTTTTATTCATCTATATAACTCTCAACCTGGTGGAAAATAAGATAGAGAAAAATTTGTATCGATTTCTGGATCATTTCATCGATGATTTCACTATTTGCGCAATACCGTAGTTGATTTTACCAGTTGGGGGTTATGAAGATTCGTATATCAGTTGCTGTTAATACGTTCAGTGCCACGTAAGATTACGATTATCTCGTAATACTTGATTAATTATTCAGGAGCGTTTGTAAATCTTCGTTTTCGATACTTCAAACGTAATTCTACGTTGTTTCGGTAGCGAAACGTGTAAAAATTCAACTGCGAATTATGTAGAAAATCATGTTTTTTCGTTGAACATTCGAAACGAAGGTTCGTTTCGTCGAACTTAATGCGAGAAACACGTAAGATTTTGCTCCTACCGTCCCCATCGAGTTCTTCTTTGTAAATAACTGTGCGAAATACCATGAGAAAATATCGCGTTAAAAAACGTGGTAATGTGTTGAAGAGACGCACGAGATACGTGTTGCTTTGGTAGATGGCAGCACGTATGTCGGCAGTGCAGATTGCCAGAAACAGTTGGTATACCGAGAGTTTAGTCGATTAATCCGAGTCAGTAGCGATGTATAATTGTCTTCTGAGAGAAATCTAGAGTTATATAGGAGCCTATTAACGATTCGATGTGTAATTCGTAAATATTGGGACGTGTGCGTCGTTCGACTCGACGCTTAGGAGTAAGGTTAGGTTTAAGAGCGGCGTAC